TACTGTTTACTTGGGACAAAAACGAAAGGGCAGGCAGAGACCAGATGCTCTGATACCATGTAATGCAAGAGTAAACAGATGAAGAAGAATTTGTTATATTATTCATCAATCTCGTATGTATATATACAAGTTACAAATTCTATGTTAGGAAAGAAGACTAATCAAATTCCTAYAAATCWGTCCTACAATCAARSTAAATCATATCTCCCTAGTATTTACTTCCTATTTTAATTATACAGTCTGTAACATGGTATCAGAGCAAACAGAGGAAAACTGGCAATGAAGGCCGAAAAAGTTCTCAAGGTTGGCAAACCTAGAGCTCTGATACCATGTTTTGCAATGGTAAAAAACTGATCTACTTCATTACATTGCCAATCGGCATATTTATACAGTAAACTGCTGCAATAAATAGAAAACATCTTCCTAAATCAATTCCTATAATTAAGGGATTAACTATTTTAATCCCCATATTTAAGGGATTATACTTTTCCACAATCCTAGGAATACATATTCACACAATTCTATTTTTACACAACTACCAAATATGCATCTACACCAGTAACCCCACGTTTTCCAACAATTTCTCTCCCATCTCAGTGACGAAGACTGTGGTTATGTCTCTAGAAATGTGGGAAATCACATACAGTGCATGGAGCCAACTGTTTCAGCTGCATAACACGAATCAAATATGTACTTTATTCATTTACAATAAATGACAATAAGTACATCAATCTGATTGGAGCTAAGGGCATAAACTGTCTAACATCTTGTCTATAGTCTCCCAACTGTTCAACCATGTGCCTTTTAAAGAGTCACATGACTTACTTAAGTCTAAGCTATTCACTTGGGCCACTTTATTTCCCAACTATTAAACCATGTGACCTTTTAAAGAGTCACGTGACTTACTCAAGTCTAAGCTACTCACTTGGGCCACTTTATTTCCCAACTGTTCAACCATGTGACTTTTTAAAGAGTCAAATGGTTTACTTAAGTGTAAGCCACTTACTTGGGCCAGTTTGGCATTCGGCCCACTTGACAAGTCTTGGGCAGTGGGCTTTTAATATCATCATCCATGTCTTATCCCAACTGTGGAACCTTTTAATATTGTTTTGGAATGGTAGAATACTGATGTATTTCATTCTATTGCCAATCGGCATATTTATACAGTAAGCTGCTGCAATAAATAGAAAGAAGAAAAAACTAGAAAGAAAAGAAAATAGAAAGTAGAAAAATAGAAAGAAAAGAAAATAGAAAGTATAAGAAGAGAAAGAAAGAAATAGAAAGAAAAACTTCCTAAATCAATCCTTCCACAATCCT